TATATCACCTCCACCACAACCGCCACTCTAATCACAATCGATCTCACCTAAACACACAGACACACATGGGGCTCACCCCAACCCTCCCCTCTCCGCTTCCTGAATGACTTTTCTACTCAGAGTGAAAATGTGTCCCCACTAAAAACAAACCGTTATATGATCTGTTAAGGCACGGTTATGAATCATTCGAAAACAATTGATCGCCTTCGGACTTGTGTTCCAAAATCCAAGAATCATTTCATATGAACTGCTAGTGATTATTGAATCCCCCCTATACTCATCTGTCCTCGTCATTCCCATCAGTGGTTAGCCGTGCACAAACATGCAACCTCCTGAATAGAGAGTGTTTATAGATGAAGCAAACTGAAGCATAACTTCCCTTGGATCCATGATCTATTTTTAGGATGTATATGTCGTACGAACTTAATGTTGATCCAGAATACCGAAACTAAAATTTGATTGTATTTGACCTAATGGTTCAGCTTGAAGAGATGCATGTCGATGATGAAATTTTCATTAGCTGATATTATATATATATATATATATTAACGTATATATGTATAATGATTTACACCACTTTATGATGAATAACAACAGCTACAGCGAATTGCATTGCTTAGCATCCAGTTTACTGGCTACTCCAACCTCTCTGGAATAACTATATCTGTCTCTTGGTTCTCTTTTGCATATCCTACTTTAAAAGACATGTCATTTGTCCGCGAGAAAAGCTTATGAAAAATACCTAAAGTTTAAAAATCATTAATTGAACTGATTTGGCTTTTCTTCCATGGAATAGAAAATCATTTTTTGTGTTTGCTTGTCCAGTTACAGAAAGTACAATTTAACAATTCAAGTTTACACATTTGCTCCGTTGCATGATAACCAACTATTCCACCAACGGTTGGATCCCAAGTTAAATCCACAGTAAGATCCATGGATGTGCGCTGCTGATGGTGATCGATAGAAGTGATACAGCTGTGGGATAATAACTTTTCAGTCTTATCTTAGGCAATTCCCTTGTTCGACGAACCAAACGAACATATTTGAATCTCAAGTGAGTAAGGGAGGATTTGATTAAATTTCAAAGGTGAATTCGCCATGTATATAGCAAATGAAGCGTGAACTAGGAAGCCAGGAAGCACTGAACAGCTGTTTTGGCCTGGTTGGGTCTCATCAACAGTGCGGATCCATCGACCCATCTGAAGATCGAACCCGGGACCTCATGAGCAGAACGCAAGCATTCTACCCACTCGGTCACCGGGCAGCTGATCAGACCGTTTTTGATTTTCCATTTACACGATACAGCCCAACCCATCTTTGCGAGCTTGTTGCAGGCCACGGACCCTGTTCATCTCAGCACTAGCCTCTGGGGTTATGATTCGGTTGGAAACATTCACAATATGACTATTTATTTCATATGAATAATGGAGGATTTGATTTATATGGAAAATGAAAAACGGTCTGACCAGCTGCTTGGTGGCTGAGTAGGTAGGATGCTTGCGTTCTTCCCATGAGGTCCCAGGTTCGTGACCCCCGGTTGGGTCGATGGATTCGCACTGCTGATGAGACCCAATCAGGTCGAAACAGCTGTCCAGCGCTTCCTAGCTCTCCAGTTCATGCTTCATTTGCTATATACACGACGAAATCACCTTTGATATTTGAATCTCTTAATTTTTAAAATTTGTTTTATTTACCATCAAAACACGGCTAGTTTGCATTTGTTTGAGTGCGTTATGTAAACTGACGAATCCTCTATGTCCGTTCTATCCCAAAAACCATGTACGCACAGATTCGTCTGGTCAGCCTATATTCGCTTGTAACCGAGATGAACGTCAACCGCAGCTATCACTGGTTCCCGATTTTGCGAAACCCACGAATGGAAACAAATGTCAACGAAGAGCCTCTCTAAACGAGTATCGAAGTAACGCACAACTGGGCAAAGACAATTCCTTCGCATCGTCTCAATGTCACACGATCAATCGTGGACGTCATGGTTCACAACGTATCCCAAGACAGACGTTGAATTTACCCGTGTGTCACGAACAAGATACCGGTTGTGGAAGTTTTCTCGGTCCTCGTTCTATGGATCTAGGCCTGTCCGGCCCTGGTGTGATGCGTAAGCACAGCACATGTGGTGCAAACGGAACTGTGATCGGTGCTCCACGTGTGGACAATCGTACCTATCTGGTGGCATCTACAGCCACAACCGGATACGAAGGAGCACTTTCGGATCCTTCCACTGAACAGACTACTCTGGTTACAACAACCACCGGCACGGACGGAGCCACACACGGTTCCGTGAATGGAAACACTGCACTCGATCCAAATGTGTTCACCACACCATCCGTGAGTAGCAATTGTTGTGTGGTAGGTGGCAGTGGCCCAGTAAGCGGTACCGGATTAAACGCCACCGATAAATTATTACATCCACAACAAAATACCGGTCATGAGACACGACCGGTCTCGTTATTTGACAATCCTGGCTCATCCGGGAACCTGCCCAATCCCCATACCGGTTTCTATCGATCTTTAAGCTATCGAAATCCACATGGTCTGCCCGTGGGACAAATGAATGCCCCCAGTCGGGTAATGACACAAAGTCAACCGCATTCAGCCGGGGTCGAACAACCGAACGGGAGCGGATCAACCACTGGTCGTAGTTTAACTGCCTATTGGCTAGTTGGAACTGGTGGTGGTGTCGATTCCCAAGGTTATGAAAGACCCTCGTGGACCAGTGCCTCACCTAGTATGCATGGATGGATGAATAGTCAGACACAATTGTTAAATCAGCGTACTAGTGGAATCTCTACCCAGAAACCGAGTATGGATCCAATCGGTTTACAAGATTTAACATACGAACAAAAAACTCTACGCGGTACAATCTCTGGTTAGTCACCGGACTAATCGAACCTGTCAGAACGAGAGTGTACGCACAAGAAACAGACCGTATGTTTGTTTGGGTGTATTTATTGCATCTACTACTGCCTTCTTACTGTATCCCTTCCACGGACCATCCAATCGTTTGTTTTCATCCACCAAGAATTCAATCATCTCAAATCATTCTCTTCTCATCGCTCATCGGTTATGGTAAACACTGAAAAAAAACATTACGCCTCAGATTACGCCTGACTGAACGGGATCAAAACAGTACAACCGGCCATTTCCCTCTTCACGATGTGTCCCCCCACCTCCCCGTCCCCCGACACACACACGCACACCCGTCCTCGATTGTTTCGTTCCACACACCGCAAACGAAGGTTGCCACCTGACCGTATCCATGTACTGGCAGCTCAAATCATTTCAATTCATCGCGTTTTTTGCTCCCTCTCTGTCTCTCCCAAAGTCTGGTAGACTACTATCTCCGCGCCTCACGCCCGTCTC